TTCAGTTGGGATTAAAGCCCACATAACAATTATTTTGTGTTCAGTCCAGTCTTTCCAAAGACCCGGCTACATTTAATTGTCGTTTTGTCGAATGGAGATTTTTATCCGTTGAGTTAATGGTGTTGTCTGTTGCTCAGTGATGTCAGAGACCGAGACCCCAATGTGACTTCATCGATCTCTCCTGCCACACTGTGTTGCAGATAATTGTGTTTCCTTTCGGTTTTACTGTATATAGTTGCTCGTGTCAAGTGAAAAATGACACAGTAACACCTGATTTGGCCGTTGGTCTTAACGAACTGCGAACACACGCCAGTAACACGCCAGTACCGGTATGACTGGCGTCTGTTCGCAGTTCGTCGCGGCCGCCATTACTGTACGTTGCGCGGCCGTTTCTGCTGCATGTGATGTGTTCCATGACATCACGTAAATAATAATGATTGTGTTCTTTTTCTCCTTTTTCTGTACATAATCACGATACGATCACCCATGTTGTGTATTTTGGTTTTGTTGTGTATTTTATTTTGTTATGGATGATGTTTTGTTCAGGGAGAGCTGACAAGGAAGTCGCATGTTATGTCCAAGACCCCAATGCGACTTCATCTAGCCCTCCTGTCAGACTGTGTTGCAGTATTTAAAACCCATGCATGGCATGCATTTTTTTTTGCAACACAATGCATGTCAGGTGTACATGATGTGTACCTGCATGGTACCTCCACATGTCTGGTGTTATTGAGGCGGCAGCGACGTGGAGCTAAAGACAGTCACCGTTGTGACACCTGTCACATCTCCTCAGATGATGTTAAAGATGTGACAACTGCCGCGTCACAGACTTGGGAACGCCCTTCAAAATGACTGCTCGGAACACTTGCGAATGCAAGGCGCAGGCCGTCGGTGCGTGTCCTGTTTTCAGAGTGTAACCAGTGAGGGCCCGGTGAACAAAGGCTGCAGCCTCCTCTCTCCTTTGGGAGTGAACACCAAATCTGAGATAACACACTCAGGGAGGGGAAGCAAAGCGTTTAAAGCTGTGGACAAGGCCATGTAATTTTATCGTGTAAATGCCTGATTGTCGGGGAGAGAAGAGAAGCCTGAGTTTTGCAACAAAGTATTTAATTGTGAAAGCGGACACGCTTGTGTTAGGAGAACGCGGATTTCACCTGCTGTCAAAATTTGTCCTGTAACCGCTCTCTGCACTGTTTGAAGAGAAGGATGTTCGGAAGATTCTTCTGGGTCTGCAAGCCCTCTGGTTCTGTCCACCGGGGTCAGGGTGTGCATCTGAAAGAATCTGGACATAACAACTTAATTTTTTGAATTGATTCTGTAATTGAGCAACGTGGAACCTGTTTTCCTTCTCTTCATTTGAAGGACCTCTAGTTGCGTGTTCTGCAGCATAGAGAGCAGCTTCCTGTTCCATTTTCAGTTGGGCAGCATCTCGTTCAGCGCAAAGATAATTCTGCTCTTCTACCTCAGTGTTTGCTCTGTCTTCATGTTCAGTGGCGATTTTCTGAAGTCGATCTCTAATATTTTGTGGAACCTCTTGGTGTCTGTTTCATTCTGTCATGTATAGTCTTAATTGAGTCAGACGTGTGAATGGGTCGGCCTTCAAGTCTGCAACTTTTTCGAATTTATCTTCTAATTCTCTCATGGTGGCGGTCACCCCAGCAGGCAAAGTTTCTGCAAATTTATTCATGTTTGATGTTGTCTGTTGTGAGCGAATGAGAGACGCTGGATCGTCTACAACTACTTCAAGTCGGCCTGTAGTTACATTCAATATTGGAGCCTGAACTTCACTCAGCGCTTTCCTAATTTCACGACAAGGTGACGGCATGCATGGGCCAGTTGGAGACAATGTTGCAAGTTGTTTCTCCTCCGAGTCAGATGGTGGCGCAGAGGGCCTTTTGGGTGTTGGCGGTACCAGACCAACACTTCCTTCCCTGATGGCCACGTGGGACAACTTTAACGCACATCCCATTGCCATCATCCTTGCTCTATCTTTCATTTCAATAACTATCTTTCATTTCAACAACTTTCTTGCAGTTGACACACACACACACACACACACACACACACACACACGCGCGCGCGCATCCTCATGAACTACATTTAAAAAAAGACATGGCAAGGCACAGAGCCATGAGGAAAAAAGCACTCAATGGGAGCTAGCTGGCGTGTCCATCACATGAAGCCCCCACCCCACCCAGAAAAAAATACAGTAAAATAGGAAATCCGCAGCACATGCTCATAGGTATCTTGTGATATGTATCTGTGTTGATCGGGCTTTTCTAATAACCTTCATTCAAAATATAAATCGTAATTCCACACGTGTTTGTCTTCTTGTGTCTTTCAGATATCAGCAAAGATGTTTGTCCTGAGCGGCTGGATGCAGAACCTTATCACATCAAAAAGGAAGAGGAGAAAAAAGAGATCTCCCACTTGAAAGAGGAAGTGTAGCAGCAGGCCCAATATATTAGAGGAGGAGCTACAGCACCCTTGCACGAAAGTGGAGGTGGATGAGCCCCCTGACATCACAGAAGAGGAGGAGGAGGAGGATATCTGCAAGGTGCCGTTTCCTGGTGTCCTTCTGAAGAGTGTAAATGAGGCGGACAGAGAGGCTCCAAGCAGCAGCTCATGTCAACACTTGACAACAAAAAGTGTTGGAATCGACCAGGGAGAATCAAAAGCAGATGGCCTCTTACCTCCACGATCAGATAGTGACAACACGTCGTCAAATGCAGATGATGATGATGAGGAGGAGGATGAAGATGAGTTTGAAGGTGATCTGACATATAACACACACAACAAACCCTGGAAATGTTCTCCCTGTGGGAAAATGTATGCTTGTAAAGGTGCTTTGGAATTACACATTAGACAACACACTGGTGAGAAACCGGTCACCTGTTCAGACTGTGGCCGGAATTTTTTTTTTGTAAGGGAATCTTAACAGGTCACACAAGATCCCACACTGATGAGAAACCTTTTTCCTGTTTAGTTTGTGGCCAAAGATTCTCTCAAAAGGGCAGTTTAAAATGTCACACAATAACCCACACTGGTGAGAAACCTTTAGCATGCACTGACTGTGGGCAAAGATTCTCTCACAAGGGACACTTAAGAATACACACAAGAACACACACTGGTGAGAAACCTTTTGAATGCACCAACTGTGGGCAAAAATTTTCTCAAGAAGAAAACTTAAAACGTCACACAAGACCACACGCTGGTGAGAAACCTTTTGCCTGCGCAGTTTGTGGCCAAAGATTCTCTCAAAAGGGCAGTTTAAAATGTCACACAATAACCCACACTGGTGAGAAACCTTTTGCATGCACCGACTGTGGGCAAAGATTTTCTCACAAGGGAAACTTAAAAAGTCACACGAGAACACACACTGGTGAGAAACGTTTTCCCTGCACACTTTGTGGCCAAAGATTCTCTCACAAGGGAAACTTACAAACGCACAAAATTACCCACACTGGTGAGAAACCTTTTGAATGCACCAACTGTGGGCAAAGATTCTCTCTGAAGGGACACTTAAAAAAAAGCACACAAGAACTCACACTGGTGAGAAACCTTTTGCATGCACCGACTGTGGGCAAAGATTTTCTCAAGAAGGAGCTTAAAACGTCACACAAGACACACACTGGTGAGAAACCTTTTGCCTGCACAGTTTGTGGCCAAAGATTTTCTGAGAAGGGAGGCTTAAAAATACACACAAGAACACACACTGGTGAGAAACCTTTTGCCTGCGCAGTTTGTGGCCAAAGATTCTCTCAAAAGGGAAGTTTAAAACGTCACACAATAACCCACACTGGTGAGAAACCTTTTGCATGCACCGACTGTGGGCAAAGATTTTCTCAAGAAGGAGCTTAAAACGTCACACAAGACACACACTGGTGAGAAACCTTTTGCCTGCACAGTTTGTGGCCAAAGATTTTCTGAGAAGGGAGGCTTAAAAATACACACAAGAACACACACTAGTGAGAAACCTTTTGCCTGCGCAGTTTGTGGCCAAAGATTCTCGTGGAAGAATCACATTAAGAATCACAAGTGTGATGATGAGACAAGCAGTTATCATTGAAGTTTTCACTTCTCATCTGAGCAGGTTTCAGGTTTGTGTGTGCCAAGGCTGATTGTATTTTATGTACCTTCTAACTGGTGCTGAAGTTTTCTTTTCCTTGAGTGCATTGAAAAGTTGTTTTTTTTTTTCCGGGTGTAATGAAATAGAAAATGTAGCATTTTCATCAGGGTTATCATACTTTTGGAATCTCCATGGGAGTTAGTTTTCATTTGGTTGTGAGTTGTGTTTTTTAAATGTAGTTTGTTGTATTCAGAGGAGGTTTGGTCATTTGTATTAGTTTTTTTTTCCTCCTCAAAACTCAACAGTCCTTGAATCGTATGAAATGTATTTTGTCTTCAATTTTGCTCCATGTGCTTATTCCTCCCCACCCACCTGCTGTCAATCACCTTCGGAGGTGGTCAGAGTTGAATGGCCAGTTGTGATGTGGAGTTTTTTTTAATGAGCAACGAAACAATAGTAATCTAATCTGTGCACAAAATGCTAATTTGCGTTGATTTGATATAAATGTTAGTGTCTCTATCCTGTTTCATTTGGGCCATGAATAAAATATTTCAAATGTCAGTGTAATTACTTTTTGCATGTTATGCTTTAAAAAAAATTAAGTAGAACTGAATATTCACTCACTTTGTCTCAGTGTGAACATTTCTGTGTTCAGTATAATTGTCTTTTGTCCGCACCGCTTCCTGGCAAACCCCTGGACTTCTTCTGATCCAGTATGTGCCACACACTACCTCTGTGCTCAAGGTCTGGGAGCTCCCCTTTCAATAAATGCTTTGTCGTGCCCCCCCACACACACACTCTCCGCACTACCTCTGACAGAAATGAATATTCTGTTTTGGTTTATTTTACAGCATATTTAGCAAAATTATTTTCCAAAATAGGGCAGCCCGGTGGTCCAGTGATTCGCGCATCAACCTCACAGTGCAGAGGTCGTGGGTTCAATCCCGGTCCCGGCCTACCTGTGTGGAGTTTGCATGTACTGCCCAGGCCTGCGTGGATTTTGTTCGGGTAGTCCGGTTTCCCCCCACATTCCAAAAACATGCATGGCAGGCTGATTGAACACTCCAAATGTGTCCCTAGGTATGAGTGTGAGCGTCGATGGTTGTTTGATCCAGAAAAAAAAAAGTTATACTGTATATCTGATTAATTTGCATTGCGTTCACTGTGCTGGACAGGTTTTCATGTGCGCTGAGAGTGTGCGACCAGTCTGCAGTTGCGCAGCTTAAAGGGAACATTGGTGCCGTTGCAGGTCAAAGTAAATCTAAATGAAAGGTATGGCAAGCCATCTGAATATTTATTCCACATCCCTGATGTCTCTGGCAAGCCATTTGAACATTTATTCCACATCCCTGATGTCAGACATTTGTGTGTTACACTATTTCGGTCTTCTTCATCAGTACTTGAAGGGTGACAGCTCCTATCACCAACAGTGGGAAACCTCTTGAGGCTGTCGACAACTTTACTTACCTGGGCAGCCTGATCAGCACTGACAATGGCGCGCAGAAGGACATCAAGGCGAGGCTTGCAAAGGCGCAGGGAGCATTTGCCAGGCTTCATGCCATCTGGAAGTCCCGTCAATACAGTCTTCACACAAAGATCCCTCTGTACAACAGCAACGTGAAGTCTGTATTGCTGTATGGGTCCGAGTGCTGGAGAGTGGTGATGACGGATATGAAGAGAGTGGAATCTTTTCACAACAAGTGTCTCCGCAAAATCTGCTATATATTCTGGCCAAACATTATCTCCAACCGTGATCTCTACACGTTGACTGGAAGCCAGAGTATAGTAGGAGAGATCAAGCGTCGACGATTCCGATGGCTGGGGCACGTATTAAGGATGGAGGAAAACCGCATACCGAAAGTAGCGCTGAGATGGACTCCACTCGGAAAGAGAAAGAGGGGACGGCCCAAAACCACATGGCGCCGAACTGTGATGGCGGAGCTGAAAGAGAAGGATCTCACATGGGGACAAGCCCAACACATCGCCAGAGACAGGGCACGATGGATAGAGTTGACTGAGGCCTTATGTCCCAGACAGGACGAAGAGGACTGAATGAATGAATGAATCATCACGAGTTGGACAATCAGCTGCACTCGTGATGCACTTTGTCGTCCAAGTTTTATTTCACATATCCTGTTCTCCGGCGAGGCAAGTGTTGCCATTGCTTCTTGTTCCTGTTCTTCGGCGAGGCAAAGGTCGCCGTCGCTTTTAGTTCCCGTTCCCTGGCTAGGCAAGCCTTTGGACAACTTTGGCACGTCCGGGTTCCGTCCCTTGAGGGAAAGGTACTGTCATGATTCGGTTTGGGACCAACAGGTGGCACTGTAGGGCTCCCCCTGCAGCTGCACACCAGTTGGTCGTTTGGTAGTTAGTGGCATAAAAGGACTCCCGCCCGACCATTCATTGTCGGGTCATTGTGGCTGTTTGTATGCTACTGTCATGGTTGTTCTCAGTTATGTTTCGGTCATGGTTTTGTTTTGGCTTCAGTCATGGCTTTGTTTGATACTTTGGATTGTTTTTGGTTTTTTTCTTTCATGGTTCGGTTCTATAGTGATGGGAAAATGAAGCCTCATGAAGCAATGAGGCTTTCCATCCAACTGGTTCGTTCCTGGGCCAAAGCATCATGAGGCTTTATTTGTACTATTGCGCCATCATGTGGAAAATAAATGTCATGACAGACAGTGATTAAAATGATACCATGGATTTGATGTTGAGGTAAAATCGGGCCAAAAAAAATCCAGCCCGACCCGGCCCGCTGGTATTTAAGCCCGACCCGGCCCGAGCAAGACCAATTAACTTGATTTGCAGGCCCGAGTCCGAAGCAAACCCGACATTTCCTGGTCTGGTGGTATGACCTTGGACCCAGACACTCTCTTCTCCTCTGAGAGTTCGACGGTGGCATCATTAAATGAGGACAGCACCTGCAGACTCTCAGATATGAGCCTCAGCTGGTGGGATGTGAGTGGGGCAATGTCAGTGTGTAGGCCTGCCAGGGGTGCTCCTACGGCTTCCCTGAGGTTGTACATGCATTGCAACATGTGGAAGATGCTGTTCCAGGGTGTCTCCACCTGAAAATAAAAGGTCATTATTGTTTGAAAGGGGAGTGGAAGCAGTTATGGATGTCAACTTACCTCTTGAATGAGCTTCAACATAGGCTCTGTCGGCTTCATTTGCTCCTGCACCTGTGTCAGCCTGGTCTATAAAAATAAAATAGGAAACAAAACATTTTTCAAGTCATTCAGCATTAAATTGATTACTGCTGTGCAATAAAGGAATTCACCTTTGCAGTGGTACTGCTTTTGAAGTAGCCAACTATCCTCCTACACAGGAGGCCCAATTTAACGCCAGCCATGTTCTCAGCTGTATGGCGGTTAGGAAAATGGAGCACACCTAACACAGCTGAGTGCAGAGAGCTGCACTCATCAATGAAATGACAAGTAACAGCCAAATATGCATCTGTGTTAATGCTGGTCCACATATCTGCTGTTATGCTCACTGCAGAGGACTTTGCTACGAGCTCTTGGGCCTTCTCCTTTGCCTGCTGGTATCTCTCCTCCACCATGACTTTCAAAGTCTAAAGGAAACGAGAAAGAACACTATTGGAAGAGCAGTTATGGGGGAATGGGGAATATCGATTCATTTGCTCTCATACACACCTGCCTGGTGGGCAGAACATATGTAGGGTCAATAAGCTTGGATAAGCTTCCTGAACCCTGTGTCCTCCACAAAATTGAAGGACTGGCAATTTTCAATCACCATATTGACCAATGCCTCTTCCACTGCATCCTTATCCACTGCAGTTTAACAGAAACAGAGTTAATGATAGATGTCATTCATTTCATGTGTCACATTTGAAATATACATGGTAGGCTATGCTGTTTTTTCATTGCATGTTAAAATGCCGTACCTGGGTGTGGTTCTGTTTGAGTTGTCTCCTTATTTTCATGCAGGGCCCTATAATGCCTCAAAATAGTTGAAGTGTTCTGTCAGGTTTATCCAATTTGACACTCAGGAATAAAACACAAGGAGGAGACAGGAGACTCAATTCTGGTACCAGGAGGGAAAGAGGAGAAGCGTTCGGTTTCAGTTCTCGGCATGTCACCCCTCCCGATCTCCCCCTTCACCTCCTTATTTATTGGGAAATCTACTACATAGGTGTGTCCAACCTAAAGGGTGGGGGCTGTTGAAGACACACTGAACTTGTTTGACTATGTGTGTGTATGTGAGTGTAAATTACGTACATCTGTGCAATTGTTACAAAAACATCACGTTGCAGCTGGTGTTGATGGCTCCATTCACTGTCCAACCTTGCTCCTGTTTAGTCTTAACACTTATCTCTTCCCAACCACGTCCTCGGAAAGGTGGTTGAGTCCCTAAACTTCCACACAGTGCACTCAGCATTCTTGATTATAAATGTGAGTATATAAATATAATACAAAGGATTATAAATGTGAATACATAATGATTAATATATTTTTATTAGAAGCAGAAGCGTTCTTCATTGCAGGCATAGTCAATTAATGATTAGAGGCATAAGCGTTCATCTTAGCAAGCATAATCAATTTATCATTGCAGGCATAAGCTTTCTTCTTTGCGAGCATAATCAATCAACCAATCAATCAATCAATATCAAAATAACAATAATAACATTACTAATAAGCGAATGTATGATAACTATAAATAATCAATCTATCATGTTCTCTTGGTACCCAAGTTCTTTGGAACAAAGTTTACACTTCACCTTTTGAAATATCAGCAAGTAGAGGGAAGACATTAAAACAAGGGATGCACTGTGCTGTCACAATGATTTACAATATATATTCACACTGGTTATTATAATTTGTACCTTTTTAGGAGAGATCTGCTCAAAATGATCCCAGACAGGGGATGTTCTCTTTTTTGTTGTGGACGGTGGGGCGCATCCAAAGCCGTCCATTGCAAAACGAATCGGAATGAAGTGAATTGCGGTTTGCCGATGCGAGTTGGGTGTGTCAGTGTCACCTTTCAGCTCACTGCCGTCCAGGTCCGCCGTTTTATTTTGAATCACCCGTGAAGCTATTTGTTGGCGGTGACGTAGGAATCCCGTCTCGCGAGGCTTCGGACGTAGCAACGCGCGTTCCGAGGCTTCGGGCGTGGCCACATCCGTCATCGACATATTTTACATCGGTGCTGCCCCGCAAACGAGCATTTGCTCCGGAGCAAATTCAACCCACCTCGGGGAAGTGGTTTAAAAATTTGCTCCGGAGTAAGCTGTTTTCAGGGGCTCCACCGGTGTAACTTTGTACGTGTGAACGCTCTACTGGGGAAGCACTGGCGCAGCACCGGAGCAAATGTTGCCGTGTGAACACCC